CGTCATGTCTGACTCCCAGGAGCCCTGCAGGGTGTTAATTGACCAGAAGTTATGATATGACACGGTATTTTAATTCGCTTGCAGTTCAGATGTAATCCAGTCTATAAATCTGGATGTAATCTAAACTACATTATCTTAAGTTACAGAGAAACAAGTGGAAAACCACTGTAAATTTCTGTCGGTTAGCAATTGTAGACTGTTATCACCGAGGCTGTCGACTGATTTTTTAAAGTAGACCTAGCCCATTTAAGAGAAACACATTGGCACATTTTTACACTAAACAACGCGTGGCCTATCGAACAGTCGTCTCTCAGCTGTAGGCCAGATGTGGCTCTTAGCTCAGAACGTAAACCCAGTGCATTGGCTTGTTATAACAGACCCATGTAGCCTGCTGGAACGCTGTGCCAGATATTCACATTCTTTTGTCACCGCAATGCACAACAAAGGCGTGTGTGCCAAAAGCCCGGTTAGTCTGCTCGGAGTCCGTGACAGTGCAGGTTATACTCCTGTGGTCTTAGCCAGCACATCTGTTTGTCCCCACTTGGTTTGTGTGTGAGGAGTCTTGACGATGTGTCTGTTCCAGAAGGTTCTCCGTGCAGAGGTGCGCGCGCTGCCACCTCGGGATATCAGCCTCCGAGATGGTGATGCGAGCGCGCGACTCCGTGTACCACCTGAGCTGTTTCACGTGCACCACTTGCAACAAGACCCTGACCACGGGCGACCACTTCGGCATGAAGGACAGCCTGGTGTACTGCCGGCTCCACTTCGAGACGCTGATGCAGGGACCGGACTACCACCCTCAGCTCAACTTCGCCGAGCTGGCAGCCAAAGGCGGCGGCCTCACCCTGCCCTACTTCAACGGAACCGGCACGGCGCAGAAGGGAAGGCCGCGCAAGAGGAAAAGCCCGGCAATGGGGATAGATATACCCAGCTACAATACAGGTGAGAGACCGTGGTGCTCAGAACAGGACCTCACATTAAGGCAGGATGAAACCAATACCATACAATATTGGAAAATTATTTATATTGTCCTCCTAGCCCTTCTTTTTTTTTGGTGCAAAAATGCCCCAGACCATGTGCCCTATAGGCTACTTGCAACAGAAGCACACCGAGCTTTTCCCCCTCTGTTTTATGAAATGAAACACTAAACAAATTTTGATGTAAGTTAAAAACCACTTCAGACCACCGAGAGAGCCCAGGTGGTCCCTGGACCCTGGTATGAGAACCTTTGGATGTATTGTGGTTTATATATTTTTTTCTTAATATCAATATATTCGTAGTTACATAGTCATATCCATTTAATTATCCATTTAAAATACGACAGCAGAAATGAGTAAAGTTTAGTCGAATATAAATAGATAAAGTGAATTTTAAAAATGTTTCCATTATATTCTCGCATTTTTAATCCTGACAGTTTCGATGCTCCAGCTGTAGCAGCCATAGGTCTACCTTGTCTGAAATAATGGGTCCACATCTGGCCTAGAGGCTCTGTACATGTACGTGAACGTCCGCAGCCGTGGGCTAATTGATGCACAGCTTTCTGTCCATGCGTCTTTTACGCACCGTTTCTGTGCTTCAAACTGTGGTGTGTGTTGCACGGAGCATGATCGAAACTTGACCTTGCCATCAACCTCTTAATCGACTTGTATAATTAAGACCAATTTAAGTCAAAATAAATAAGTAGAATTTAGGGTGTAAATGTATCTTACGGCTGTTGCGTAAAAACAATTTCTAAATAAATACCAGAATTATGTTTAGCGTGGGCTTGGCTTTTAAAAACTGCTCACTATGTTGTTGTTAAATGTAGGTTTCAGTACAATGTAGGTTTCAATTCTGGTTTAATCGCTGAATGTTATAACTCGACCCCTACCCCCACCCCCGCAGCGTCCCCATTTTGTCGCTTTCTGCGAATTACTGTGCGGTTGACAAAGTTTGTTGTTGTGCGCCAAGTTTCCTCTGTTCCTGGTGAATAGGGAGGAATAATGGCGATGTGCGCGTTAATTGTTCTTCGTTAATTGAAAGTGACTTTGGAATCTCTGGCCTCCCGTGCGGCGGCCAGCACGGTTCTCAGGGACCCAGCAGCGCCGCGCACAGGGGCCTGCTGCATGGCACAGGCCGGGCCCTGAACGCAGCACTGTACAGGCAGCGCTCTGCTTGAAAGAGTTTAGTTTGTTATTCGTAAACACAACAGCAAGAGATTGAACAAATCGTAATGTTTTCATGGATGCCTTGCAAGGAAAATATTCACTGCAGGGCTGAAGGTTTTTCTTTAATAAAGAATTTAAAAATAATATGGTCACAGTAGGTAAAAAATAAAATAAAATCCCATAGCAACAGAGAGTGATATAAAATACAGGAAGAAGATGGCCCTGTGAACTCATTATTAAGCACTACAGCCTCACTGGGAGTATTTTATTTATCATTGGGATATTTAAATTGAATAAAATAGAACAGAATATTTTCTGACTTAAAAAGATGCTTTTTGGCTGTAGGTGCTAAGTAAAATTCCTTTCTGGTTTGTTTTATAAATGATAAGTGTTCTGATTATATGATGGGTTTATAACCACCTTAGAACTAAACTAAAAATACAAATAAAAAAAGAAAATATAAAACTAATTAGAACAGGAAACAGCTGAATGACTTAGTCTTTGTTTTCTGTTTCCACACTGCTCCTTTTCCTTTGTTGTGCTGTATTATCACAAACACACCAATTATGCCTTCAGTTACAAACTGTTCTGGTTAATATATCATTCCGCTGATCAGGAGAAGCACATTCATGACAAGTAGGAAGAGGTTTTGTCTGACGTTTTGTTTCTGCTTTAGGGAGCACATTCATGTTTGTTTCCACCAGGGAAAGGTGGGAGTCTACTGAGTCTTCCACAACACTCTGTAAACTTTGGTCTTGTTTGGATATAGAGACCCCTAGTGGGTAGTATCTAGAGAAACACAATCCAGTGAAGACTGGAACTGAACACAAATGTCACTGATCCTTATATTAATAGTTCATATAAGTGTCACAAGAAAATTGAACAGAAAACCTATTTTAAATGTGAAATCTGTACCTTCCTTTTTCAAAATGATTTGTAATTTAACCCAGTGATTAGTGGTGGAGTGTTTGTACTGCATCTGTATAATGACCTGCTGGTATATTTCCTTTGGTATTTTATCAGCCACAGAGAAAAACAACCGCTCAACATTTTGTTTACAAGCAGACAAGAAAATGAATTCAACCTATTATATAATTTGGCAATGTCATTCTTTGCTGTCTGGCGTTCTTGGCATCTCCAGTCAAATAAGAGATGAGATCTTATAACATCTGTTAATACTAAACTCTCTAAAAATCATCTAAGCTGATCCAGTTGACGTTACTAGTATAGGCTGTCTTTACTGCCTGATTTGGCTGAAACAACATAAATGTTCAACAGTCCGCCTCGGGAATTTTCTGTGTACATGTAGTCCTGTGATAAAGGTTTCAGCAGCAGTGTTTAGCCACGAATGCAGTGGATCTGTTTTTGTGTATCACCATCTTTAAGTATTTTGCACACTCAGCTGCTGACAAATGAGACCCATTAGGCCTGTTAGTCTTTGCAAACACAAGCAGAAATAATTTAGCCCAGTCCCAGGGTATGGTGAAAATGCATTATTATTGCTGTAATTTTGTAATCTAGGTGCATGTTTATATTAAAAATCCAATAATGAGAACATCCAGTGTGTTATGTATCAAGGTGAGGTTTACTTCTGGTACAGTAGGTACATATTCTAATTATGTAATGTGAATATGAAAAACTTTAATTATTTACCATAATAATACAGTATGTATGTATGAATTTATTACACATTTAAGTTCATATACTGTGTGACATCCTTGATTTTCTCTGCAAACCTACTTCTTTATAGTTGTAAAGTTATCATTGGAAACAGAAGTTTAAAGTAAACTAAATCATTTGCAAATTTTTTTCCTGCTGTTGCTCCTATTGGACTTTGAGCCTCCCCTGTCCTGTGCTCTCTACCCTGTCAGGCTGTAATGAGAACGACACCGATCACTTAGACCGGGACCAGCAGGCCTACCCTCCAACGCAGAAGACCAAACGCATGCGGACGTCCTTCAAGCACCATCAGCTGCGGACAATGAAATCCTACTTTGCCATCAACCACAACCCAGATGCCAAGGACTTAAAGCAGCTGGCTCAGAAAACAGGCCTCACCAAGAGAGTTCTGCAGGTAAGCACAAAGCCATTTTTCTTACTGATCTGATCACCCCATATCCTTGTCTGCCCCCCACTCCTCCTCCATATCCCTCTCATTTCACACCAAATCTGTCATTGAAGTCATCTTTTTTGTTTTTGTTTGGTTGGTCCATTTAGTCATTAGATGTATATCCAGGGGTTTTTATCTGACACTTTGTATATTGTTAAATGTTAGTATTTTGGAAAAGAAAGGAGAAAAGTAGTTGTTAAGCTTAAGCTTGAAACTTAAGTGTAAAACTGTAGCTAGTATTAATAATAACAAGAGTGCACATGTCCTTTTTATCTGTGGAACAGAGAAAGGTGTAATTCACCTCGTGCAGATAAAAAAAAAAACAATTAAAATGATAGGATTATTGTTCTGATTTGTTATAAAAGTCCACATTCTTGTATTCAGTGTTCAGGAGTTAACTGATTCATTGTTATGTGCCCCTACGCTCAAAATAATGTATGAAAAATGCCATAACAATTTACATATATATGGCAAGGACAACTTGATGCAGTGATAGCTGAGATCATTTGATATGTAAACTACTGTACAAATGATTCTTTTTAAAAATTAATTAAACAAACAAAGTAAAAACCACATTGGGATTGGTTTGCAGGTTTGGTTCCAAAACGCAAGAGCCAAATTCAGAAGGAACATTTTGCGACAGGAGAATGGAGGTGTTGATAAGGCTGATGGCACCTCACTCCCTCCACCCTCATCCGACAGTGGGGCCCTGACCCCCCCCTCCAGCGCTGCCACAATAACAGACCTGACAAACCCCTCAATCACTGTAGTGACCTCTGTCACCTCTAGTTTGGACAGCCATGATTCGGGGAGCCCTTCGCAAACTACCTTGACAAACCTTTTCTAACAAGCTATCTCTAGCAAACTGATTTTTATTTTATCTGAGTTTTATTTGTTTATTTTATTTTATTTTATTTCCTCAATTTACATTTTATTTTTTTAAGTGACTCCTTTAAATCAACCAGAGACAGCTCCTTGGAACAGAAAGTGCTGTACTGTGTACACAAACAAGAACACCAAGAGCAAGATCAGCAGCAACCACATTAAAACACAAGGAAATCATTTTATTGTGTAGCATTTGAAACCGCATGGCAGCCGTGTCTATAGTTGACCTAAAGTATGCAGAGATTTTGGATGGGACATTTTCAAAATGAAGGCATTAGAAAATTGTCATGAATTCACCAGTTTATTGGAAAAAAATGACTAAACTTGAAGCTTGTCTGGAAAATTTTATACTTGATTTGACTTTATCTGTACATTTTGTATTGAAGTATGATAAAATGAGCCCTTCCTAATTTATCATTAATTGGTACATTTTAAAATAATATGAAGATTTTGCCCTCAGACACCTATATATGTATGCACTGTGTTCACACTATCCAGTTTAATTTCTGTTTTGGAATAATTTGAGAAATAAACTTGTAGAATGTTCTGTATATGGGTAACTCCAGAAAACAGGCTTTAATTATTTCCGGGCGTTTGTTGGGATATCTCACAGAGCTACATGTAGAACGTCTAAATTTCATGATAAGCACCCAACCATTGCAGCTTATATGGCAGGTAAATGCTGAAACCACTTATATTTTTCGTCTCGATTCACACCACTATTTGGAAAAAAGAGAGCAAAGCAAATCCCCCAATCTGTACAGTGGTAACTGTTCAACATGCAGCCCAGTCACATTGATAGAAATAAGCTGATAATTAGAAAACAGCAAGAGAAATTTGGACTGGGGAGTAGTTTATGGGCACTGTTATAATCGGCTGTTTTTATGACAGAGCACTTTTTTTGGATGTGTTGGCCTCATAGATTAACCGTAGTCAAATGGATAAATCCTATTAAACATATCCATAGATCCACAGCTAAACTCAATTGCACAGTGACAATATACTGCCCAATGAAAAGTGCATTATTGTTTTTATCATGTTGCTCAGGGTAATGACGTGATTTTTAAAAAAGGGAATAGGAGGAGGGGCGAGAAGTGAAGTGGTCTTGACGTTGCAGACTAGATTTGTAGAGCTGACATGAACATTCAAATGACCTCAGATAGGTGGAGTTGTGAGATGCAGCCAGTGGGAAGTCATCGTCCATGTGTTCTCCTTTTTGGCCATATTTATACTTTCTTTAATGACACTTGCCACTGAACAGACCAAAAACATGTTTCTTCTGGCTGAAAGAGAGAGAAAAGAAAGCAACAAATCTTCAATGGAGTCGATACATTTCATTGTGAGCGTCACAATTTGTTCTATTGTAGAACAAAGTGGTACTCTAGATCTACTTAATGAAGTAGATGCCTAACTCAGTTCTACTATGTGCCTTATGCTATAACTTGGGAGAAAGTTTGTGAAATTCAGGATATATGTGTTCTTTGTTAACTGACTCACATCCTTTTGACGCCTCACTAGTTTTGTACTGTTTTGCATCTTATTTCCGAAGATCTTTTTATGGTGTATCCTGTTAAAAAGGGGGCAGCGATGTCATAGAAAGCATTTGTGCACTCTTTCAGATATAGTTGGGTAATCCAAGAACCTTATATATTGATCTTCGTGTTAATAGTTGAGTACAGTAAGTGTTCTATCAAGATTGTCCATGTTTCCCTGTTTCTTGATAAAGATGGTGTATAGAAACTATTTCCCCTTAAATATTTATGGACCAAACGGTTGTTATATTATCTTATTAAATTTGTGTGAATAAAAAAATACTTTGCTTTAAATGGGTTTTATTTTTCATTACACTTGCCATTTTTGTGTTCTTTCTTAAATGCAATTTTTGTTTATCACATCAAAAAATGAGCCAGCATCCAGTTATAAATGCCAAGTTAAACGTCCTCATTTTTGCTTCCATTTTTAATTTCTATTTTATGATGTTTATGGTTTTTAACGTAATGCCCCATGGATTTGCATCTAAACCCTGCAGTCAAAAATATGAAATTGCTTTTTAATGCATGAACATTTAAAATTTAAATCAAATGAATGCTGCAAAGCACATATTGATATATATCTATATACATATATAGTATATATTTTTATGCATAACATATTGGTAAACCTAAAATGAAGTAAGAGTTAATGCAGACCCCATAAAGCCAGGTTGCTCTGTAGTTAATATATTCTTACTCTATCGTTTCTTTCAGGGAGAACAAATCTTGGGGCATTACAGCCATACATCCCGACGTTTGAAAATTCCCTAAAGTATTAACAGAAGGGGAAAACTTTGATGGGAATTCCTCACCATTGAAGACAAAGACAGTATTAGGATAAGCTGATAGCATATTACAAACAAATGAACAACCAACACAAAATCTGTTTCATTTACAATTGTACCACAGCTGATTTTTTTAAAAGTTTGTCCTGAATATTTGAATTCATCAGCTTTGGAGACCTCACGATGTATGATATTTATGATATCAATATGAAAAAAAAATCTGTTTTGGAAATGCACAAAATGCTGATAAAATATATTGTAACATTGTAAAACTAAAAACTCAAAGAACAGGATGTGATTAAAAGACGGCAGGCGTCCAACATGACAACAGTGTGAAACAGAGACGGTATGGATGTTACTGGTATGAACACACACACACACACACACACACACACACACACACACACATTACACACAGCCTTTTTCCCACTGCCTTGATCCTATGTAACACAATGTTTACATTCTCACAATCCTCATTCTCCATTATACACACTGTCACACACACACAAACACAAATGCACACACACGCTGCTGCCCCTGTGCACCCCACCCAAGAATCGGCTTGCTAAATGTAAGTTTTCTTTTGTCACAAGTGTCATTTCGTAAACACATGGCCTCCTTGAAACTCGGCAGCAGGATGCCCATCAAATATGATGAGTATATGAAGAGGACTGCAGAGCTGGAGCTTTGCCATCTGGCTGTACCGAGGGAAGGAAGTGAAAAAGAAAAAAATAAAAGCAGATAAAGAAGAGATTCTCATTTTGCATGCGCCTCATCATCTTGTTAACATTTTCCTTGGAATGTATATTATTTCCTTTGATTCACTGTATGATTTATTGTCAGCTGCAAAATAAAGCCTATGAAAATCATGTCCCTGATGCTCATATAGTTCCTCAAAGTGGAAAAAAGTGTAACTGTGAGGACAAAGATAGTATTACTTTAAGTTTATTTGTTCTTGGCATTCAGCTGTAAAGGGTAAAACACGATTGGTTCCTTACCTCATTACTGTCGATATTTGTAAAAGCAAAATATCTGTAGTGCATGTCATAACATTGCTAAACTTTTCTTCTACGCCTAAGATTTACTCTCTTATAGACTGTATCACACTTGGCATTGTCTTTGCTATTTATAGTTTACAAAAAAAAATTTTGGTTCTATTTCGCAAACTCAAAAAGTAATCTGAATGTATAGATACACATTAAAAACAATCAAACAACATTTTATTTACCAGTCTTGCTTGAGTCTTTTCTGACACACATGTAGCAAAATGGTTGGAGAATGCTGTACACACACTGTTACATAGGTAAGAACGCAATTTTTTCATGGTTGTTTTTGCTGCATACTGTCTCCTTGCTTAGTATGAAGGCTAGGTATGTATGCCATGTGAAGAATGTGTTGTGGATAGAGGGAGAAAAGAAAGAAAGAGGAGGGGGAAGGAGACTGAAGCCACATGGGGACCAGTAAACAGGCTGGTGTTGAATTCCAACAATGTGGGAAAAACAGCAAACACTTCAGTCAGTCCATGAGGAACCCTCAGTCACTGGGGTGCCTGTGCGCTGTGGCGGGGGGCTGTGTTCCTCTGGTCTGACGGGGAGGACAGTGGGCGGGTTGACACCGCAGAGCTACAGGAAGCAGGGCTGGAGAAGAAACACAAACAAACACAGCCAGCCCTGTTCAGTCATGGAGCTGCAGGATGAAAATTCTGGACAACATCATGGCCCCGTGTTGACAAGAATTTCAGGGGTTTGCTGCCGGGCTGTTGGTGACTGGAATGCACAGTGTTGCAACATTTGTATGCGGATGTGTGTTTGTATGAGCAAAGCCAGATAAGCCAACTTCTTCCCAACAGATTTGCTTCACCCTTTTCCAGGTATTCTGTTCTTTATTTTTAAAGATATATTTTATGATAGGAAGACAGGGAGAATTGAATGATGCTCCCTTGTGACTATATTGCATCCAAGCATTTGAGCATCAAATGCATTTTTGGTTCATAAACTTACAGTAAAAACTATTAAATCTACCTGATATCATAATGACATAAACCCACTTTCAACCTGTGATCCTTATGCTCACATTGATATCAATGTAAAAATGTGTGTTGTCTGTGAGTGCAGAGACCTCAAAAGTTAAGGAAGGACAGTTTCTGCCAGCTGACAACCTCCTCCACCTCCCTTATCTCCTCCTCCTATTAAATGACAGCCTCTGTGTGCTATGACTGTACAAAAACAATGTTGACAATGCTGTATGTTTGCTGTCACACGAGCAGTTTGTTCATAAAGCCTGGGTGATCCTGATATATGTGACACTTATTTTAAAAAAAGAATTGCAATGCTTTCCCATATCAAGTTCAAACACTGAAGTTGTCCAGTATCTAAAAACATACACCAAGTACAAATATACCCCACTGCATTTATAGACATTGTGGGTGTGACGTTAATTTTAGAAACAGCTTGTTTGAAAAATGTAAACATAGAGATGTCTGAATACTTTAACTGTATTGACAAGGATTAAGTAGATTAGACTAGCTCAGATAGTGCTTCATATGTTTTAATCACATTTAAGGCCACAAAAGACATTGTAAATGGGGAACCAAATCTGGGAGCAAAGCAACAAGTGTATAGTTATTTTCTGATTACCACAGAACAAAGTTGTACTCACTGTGGTTGGCAACACCTGTAATTCACCCCTCAACTAAATGGAGAATGAGTTCCCTACTGAGTGATCTCTAAGCACCAGGAAAGTGAGTCTCTGCAAGGACACACACATACACTGGCATACATACATTATCACACACTGCACACACAGTGATGGGTGACAGGGTCAAAACAAAGTATGAAATGATCACTCAGGCATAGGCCACATGCGCAGTTCATATAATTCTCTGGTAGTGTTGTTTCCATTGTCACTGCTTGTGCAGGTGTGTGTGTGGTAGTCTGCCAGTTCTGCCTGAGTTCCCACCTCTCATTGCTAGGCACCTATTTAACCTCACCACAACCACACACACCACCCTGCTAACACAAGTACACACTGGCAGCAGGGCACACACATA